ATATCAAACAGTAGGGTGATGTAATCAGGTAAAAAAAAAAAAAAAAAAACTCTGATTACAGGAAACAGATCAGAAGGGGACAAAGTAGAAAAAAAAAAAAAAAAAAAAGGAGGCTACTGTACTAAACTTGACCAAAAATGCTAGTAAAAAAAAAAAAAAAAAAAAATGAAAAGAAGCAGATGGATTCAAAAGACAATCAGATTTGCCAAAAGATTTATGTTCATAGATTAAAATCCCTAAAACTATAATTATTGGGTCAAAAAAAAAAAAAAAAAAAAAAATAATATACATTGCCAAACTGCCCTGCAAAGAGCAGTTTTAAAAAAAAAAAAAAAAAAATGTAGCTGTTCCTCTATCTGAAATTTTAAGTTCCTTAAAAAAAAAAAAAAAAAAAAAAATCCATATTTCCTTCACGAAGTCTTCCCTGACTCCCCTTAAAAAAAAAAAAAAAAAAATGTCTCCCACTGAATCCTTGCTCTGTCTTACACACATTTCTATAGTCCAGTCATACTGTATTTGACTTAAGTTTACATGCCCATCATCTCTACTACAAAAAAAAAAAAAAAAAAAAAAAGCTGTTCTTAAGGCACTTAAAGCTAAAATAACTTGCAAAAAAAAAAAAAAAAAAAACGCTAAAAAAAAGTGACCAATTTGTTTGTGATGAGTCATCAAATCTCCATAGTGTTTCTGAAAATCTCTCCAATAATTCTAATCAAATAGGTGTTAAAAAAAAAAAAAAAAAAAATAAATAACTTAGTAAAAAACAAAGTATGAACAAAGCAGAAAAAAAAAAAAAAAAAAAAGAACCTGAGTTGTTGATACACGCTAGTTTTTTAAATTATAAAAAAAAAAAAAAAAAAACCAATTTACCAAAAAAAAAAAAAAAAAAAGGTTATTCTGAAAAAAAAAAAAAAAAAAATTTATAAAATATAAACAATGAGAATATATTTGTAATTTGAAAAAAAAAAAAAAAAAAATTACATAGCATTTCAGAATTATCAATTTCTTATGTTGAAAAAAAAAAAAAAAAAAAAAACAGCATCTAGAACGATCTATCAAAATCTTCTCTAAGCTAGAGGAAGTGGCAGAGTTCCTTAGAGTAATCTCAAAGACAAGCAGCTCCCTCTATAGTAAAAAAAAAAAAAAAAAAATAATTACTTGCTTTGTGAACATCTCCCATTCTTCTATTTAAAAAAAAAAAAAAAAAAAGCAGGGAAGCTCTTTGAAAGGATAGTTCTGTTTAACCTGAAAAAAAAAAAAAAAAAAAAGCTGTCTAAACTCAGCATGAAGTGAGTTACATCAAGCAACTAAGCAAGAGCAGAGATGTGGAAAATGGACAGCTTCCCAAGTCTACCTAAGTCGAAAAAAAAAAAAAAAAAAAAAGATTTTACCTGTAGTGAATTCTCTGAGTGGTCACACCTAAAAAAAAAAAAAAAAAAAAAAACATTGTCCTATACTTTATTCATAACCTTTCTTCCCTAAAAAAAAAAAAAAAAAAAATGTTGTTATAAAAGAAAAAGTTAACAATTTCTTCTGTAAAAAAAAAAAAAAAAAAAAATTATATCAAAATAATGTTCAAGACATTTAAAAAACTAGTTAAAGAAATGGAGAGGAAGTTTGCTTTTGTTTTTTAAAAAATTCCATAACTCAGATGAAAAAAAAAAAAAAAAAAACCTTAGGAATCAATATCCTCAGTTGGCAAGGGATTAAATAAAAAAAAAAAAAAAAAAAAAATCTGAATATCCCACTTTTTTTTTTTTTTTTTTTAAGAAAAAAAAAAAAAAAAAAACCCAGGCTGGAGTGTGGGGGCGGGATCTTGGTTCACTGCAAAAAAAAAAAAAAAAAAACAAGCAATTCTCCTGTCTCAGCTTCCCAAATAGCTAGTAAAAAAAAAAAAAAAAAAAACGCCCAGCCAATTTTTGTTTCTTTGTCTGTTTGTTTTGTAAAAAAAAAAAAAAAAAAACTGGTCTCCCACTCCCTGGGTTCAAGGGATCCTCCTCCCAAAAAAAAAAAAAAAAAAAGGATTAGTGGCATGAGCCACAGCACCCAGCCCTGAATATCCCTCTTTTTAAAAATACCTTTTCAAATTTCACCAACTTAAGACATGGGAGTTTTTAAAAAAAAAAAAAAAAAAAAATTAAATTACTCAAGATACATCCTCAAAACACAGAACAATAAAAAAAAAAAAAAAAAAATTTCTAAAGCAGAAAAATGCTTTTCATGCAATAATGGAAAAAAAAAAAAAAAAAAAAAGTATTAATCCAATCAGTTCAGAATTTGTAATATAATTTTGAAATGGCCACTTCATTTGAGAAAAAATATCTTTGGTTGCTATTTTTCAGGATCTCATAAAAAAAAAAAAAAAAAAATTAAAACATTTTCTCTCCAAACCAAGGTAAAGCATTAAGAAAAAAAAAAAAAAAAAAATATATATGAAAAAAGTACGTTTATGGTATTTTATGTAGCAAAAAAAAAAAAAAAAAAACACGTTTTTATTACCTTATTTTACTTGTTAGTAAAGATAAAAAAAAAAAAAAAAAAAAATAAATTACGTTTATATCTTTGCATTATGTTTACATCTTAAAAAAAAAAAAAAAAAAACTTCATTACAAATTCTAGCATTCAGTTTTACTAAGTCAGAAAAAAAAAAAAAAAAAAATAATAATTTTCATGTTTTATTTTATTGGACTAGTTTTCCAAAAAAAAAAAAAAAAAAAGCAGATAATTCTGCAGTTTTTGATTATGTTTAATTAATATTAATCTCACTGGGAGTTTCTGACGTACTAATAAAAATGCTGGCTTGGTTTATGAAAAAAAAAAAAAAAAAAAAAAAGCCAATGACTTCAAATTTTTTCTTGTTGAAACAAACATTAAAAAAAAAAAAAAAAAAATATATAGCAAATTCAATTTGATAATCCTTAATTTAAAATTTGGCTTTCTCTGTATCAAGTTTTATGTCTTTCAATGTACATATAAAAAGTGTCACTTAAAAAAAAAAAAAAAAAAAAAATTTCAAAGTATATACAAAAAAAAAAAAAAAAACCACAAAAAAAAAAAAAAAAAAATGGTTTTTATGGGTTTTTTTGTTTTTGTTTTTGTTTTTGAAAAAAAAAAAAAAAAAAAATCTATTGTGGGATGTCCATGAAGGATGAAATAGGAAACAAAAAAAAAAAAAAAAAAAAAATATTCAGAAAAACAAAAGCATATAATATTCTATATTAAAAAAAAAAAAAAAAAAACTTTATATAATAAGTTAGCTTATAGTGAAACTCATTTATAAAAAAAAAAAAAAAAAAACTATAAAACAAAGCTTGACTATCTCTCAAGTAAACATATAAAAAAAAAAAAAAAAAAAAGAAAAAATTATGTGTGGAAAAGTAATTCAAACAATACAAAAAAAAAAAAAAAAAAAAGCCACAGTATATCCTATTAGCATGTCCCTTTATGATTCGAAAAAAAAAAAAAAAAAAACCATATCAACTTCACTATCTTATCCTTCCTCTGCATCTGAAAAAAAAAAAAAAAAAAACAGTGAAATTCCAATTGGAAACAAAGACAGCACCACTACAAAAAAAAAAAAAAAAAAACTATTTTATAGAACACTTCATCTCCTCGATTTCCCAGCCTCCAAAGTTTCAAGTGTTACACTTTCAACACGTTAAAAGCACTCAAATTCCCCATCTTAAAAAAAAAAAAAAAAAAACATATTCACTAGTTTAAAAAGGAATATGCTACCAAATCTAAAAAAAAAAAAAAAAAAACAAAGAGAATTCACATTAAAAGATAACAGCTTAGAATGAAAAAAAAAAAAAAAAAAAACGCTATTATCTTGGTAGTCCACAGAAACTGACTGTAGTAACAAGATGAATGGTGATGAGGACAAGGAGCATCAAGTGGGAAATGCTATCTAAAATCCAAAAAAAAAAAAAAAAAAAAGAGGGAAGAGCATCCTTTCCTAGGAGGCATTATTTCCTAGAACTCCATTATTTCATGGAAGCAGTTCAAAGCATACAAAAAAGCAAAACCATTTTAAAAAAAAAAAAAAAAAAAACCTTTATCTTTTTTATATTATCATAAACCCCAAGAGTTTAAAAAAAAAAAAAAAAAAAACTGCTGTCTCTCCCCTTCTCACCCCTTCTTCAACATAGTTGTGTTTAAAAAATATACCTGTACTTAAAACGCAAGCCTACAGCCCAGTCTAGGAGCAAAAAAAAAAAAAAAAAAAGCTGAGTCTGGCTGTGGTTCCTAATAAATTCACCCCGTTAAAAAAAAAAAAAAAAAAAGGGCAACATAAACACGCATTTCCTACTTTCATGGATGAAAAAAAAAAAAAAAAAAAAAACCTGAGGATGCTGCCCTGTCCCCAGACGCTCTGGCACTAAAAAAAAAAAAAAAAAAACTGCACTCACAGCAGAGTCACACGGTCACCCCAGTGAGAAAGATTATCTGGCCCCAGGCGCCACTCTCTTCGGCCCACTGCATCTCCGGAAGGGGCAAAAAAAAAAAAAAAAAAAAAGAGGCCATGGGGAGCGACTGACAACAAGGCTGACACTTAAAAAAAAAAAAAAAAAAACACTTCAGGGACACAAGGGATGCCCGGGGTCCCACTAGCAAAAAAAAAAAAAAAAAAACCTACGAACCCGTCCACCGATGGGCATGGCGCGGCCACCAAAAAAAAAAAAAAAAAAACTCGCGGCTTCCGCTCCCCCGGCTCGCGCCCTGGAGTGCAAAAAAAAAAAAAAAAAAACACACGCAGTGTAAACACTCGGCGCTCGCCGCCTTCCTGAAAAAAAAAAAAAAAAAAACGCAGCGCTCGCGCGGACCCACATTTTTGCGCCTCTTGTAAAAAAAAAAAAAAAAAAAGAGGAGGGCGTAGGGGAGGGAAGACGCGGCAGCGATCCAAAAAAAAAAAAAAAAAAAACGGCGTGCGCGCGTGTGCGCGGCGGGGAGGGCGGCCCCGAAAAAAAAAAAAAAAAAAATCCCGCCCCGCGCCCGCTTACCTGCCGGGGTCGCTCCGAAGATTCGCACCACCGGCACCTTCTTGACAGGGGTCTGGGTGAGGGGGGATTGGCAGGTAAAAAAAAAAAAAAAAAAACTGGCCATGTAGTAGTCTGCAGTCACTATCCTCACTGAAAAAAAAAAAAAAAAAAAAACCACTGCCTCCCTTCACTGGCGACCCGGCAGCGGCAGCAGCAGCGGCGGCGGCTCCCTCCGCAGCGGCGGCGCCCCCTCCCCTTCTCGGCTCGGCCCCCTCCCCTCACACACAGACACCTCGAGGAGCGGCGGCGGGCGGGGCGGTGTAGGCGCTAAAAAAAAAAAAAAAAAAAGAGCACCCGGCAAGAGGCCGCAGGAGAGAAGCCCTCGAGCTTTCGTCGGTGCTGGTGCTGCCGCCACTGCCGCGGCCGCCGGGAATCACACGGGCTCAAAAAAAAAAAAAAAAAAATCTTGTTGCCATGATGATGATGTCACGGACGCAACCACTAAAAAAAAAAAAAAAAAAATGTGTGTGGCGAAGGGAGGGCTGCGAGTAGTGCGGGGGAAAAAAAAAAAAAAAAAAAAGAGCGAGCGGGCGGGCGCCCGGGCGGAACACGGAGGGCGAAAAAAAAAAAAAAAAAAACTCCCCCGCCCCCGGGGCACGCAGTGAGGGAGGCGGCCGGCGGCCGACAGGGCCCGCGCGGGATCGATGACTCGGCCGGCGGGCACGGTCACCTGGGTGAGGGGCAGCGGAAGGGGCGGCAGAGCACCGATCTCATGGATGGGCTTCGAGGGGCTTGCGGGAGGGGTGCGCCAGTGTTCGGGGCCGTTTTGGCGGCTATGCGGGATTGGCAGGAGCTGCGGTGCTCACAATTGCCTCGCCGACCGCCATTTCACATCCAGCAGAGGAGGCGAAAAAAAAAAAAAAAAAAATTTTTCACAAGGTAAGAAAATCCGCCCGCGGGAGGAGGGAAAAAAAAAAAAAAAAAAATGCCGCTGCGGCCTCGCGGGAGGGAAGGGCGGGCTGGCGAAAAAAAAAAAAAAAAAAAGGGGCCGGGTGCGGACGCAGCCGGCCCTTCTCAGGTAACAAAAAAAAAAAAAAAAAAACCCGGGGGCGGTGCGAAAGGTGGGGGCGCGCGGGCGCGGAAAAAAAAAAAAAAAAAAACCGCCCTGGCGCTCCCCCTTCCCGAACGTGCCGCGCGAGAAAAAAAAAAAAAAAAAAACTGCTGCTGCAGTGTCTGCGCAGGGCCATTTAATGAGATTTGTTCACGCACGGCTCTTAGCTTTGCGAGGGGTTGGCATATCCAGTGCACAGGGATTAAAAAAAAAAAAAAAAAAATCCCGCCCCCTTCCTTCGCTCTCGCCCTAATGTATCCTTAAAAAAAAAAAAAAAAAAAGCAGGCTGCGTCCCGGGCACGCGCAAGTACATGTAAGGAAAAAAAAAAAAAAAAAAAACTCCCTCCTCCCTCGTCGCTCCTCCCCCAGCGGAATGTAAAAAAAAAAAAAAAAAAAAGAAAATTTTGGCCAAAGAAAAAGGCCTGTGAAAGTCACCGCGTTAGACGTGGCCTCCTCGTGTTTTTCACTAACAGGTTATGCAGGGTTTTACTACCAAAAAAAAAAAAAAAAAAACCTTGGGGAAGGGCCGTTTTGAATAAACAACTTTATTCAAAAAAAAAAAAAAAAAAAAGCGATGCAGTTAGGGAATTTTTGTTTTAAAGAGTAGTAAAAAAAAAAAAAAAAAAAAATTAAATTGGAACCAAGGGGTTCCTCTCTGACTTGGCTACAAAAAAAAAAAAAAAAAAAGGACAAATAATTTTGTTTCTTTGGGCTCAGTTTCTACATAAAAAAAAAAAAAAAAAAACTCTTAAAAACTCACCCTGAAGGGTTTCTTCTCAACAAAAAAAAAAAAAAAAAAAAAAGCGGAAAGCGTGGGTTCAAGTTCGAAATTTGTCCCTGAAAAAAAAAAAAAAAAAAAAATCTAACCCATCCAAAGTAGAGATCGTTCTTTTACATTTATGTGTTATACAGGTGCATTCGAATAGTTACCAGGTTGCCATGTATTTGAAGTGGTGTGAAAAAAAAAAAAAAAAAAACGTTGTGGATTTTCAAATAGGAAAATCAAAAGGCCCAAAAAAAAAAAAAAAAAAAAAAGAAGCTGTCTATAAATTCCCTAACATATAAATGCTAATAAAAAAAAAAAAAAAAAAAAATCTGAGACTGATTACTACAGTAAATTACCTTGTAGTTTAAAAAAAAAAAAAAAAAAAATAAACATAGGTGGCAAGATTTCTACTAACATGCTGGAAATTAGTTAATATTTTTAAGAGGCAAAATCTCTTAATTTGAAATTTTAGAAGGCTATAGAAAAAAAAAAAAAAAAAAACTACCATGCTAAAATGTATTTTTGGTAAAATAAATATTTAAAAAAAAAAAAAAAAAAAATACACAATACCAGTGATTCTCAGTGTTCCATGACACCTAAAAAAAAAAAAAAAAAAATATTTTGGTTCTTACTGAATTACATTTTTGGGTATGGGGAAAAAAAAAAAAAAAAAAAAGCAACACTACCTGCCACCGCGTGATTCTTACGCAAAATAAAATTGAGAATCCTTGTACTATATTATAATCAGTGTATCCATAACTTTTAAATTATAAAAAAAAAAAAAAAAAAAAGGTAAAAGCATCAAATTAACAGATTTGTTATTTCTAGAAAAAAAAAAAAAAAAAAAAACCTCTTGAATCAACATTATTTACTTTAAGAAAAGGCAGTAAAAAAAAAAAAAAAAAAACTTCTAGAACTCCAAGAATGTTCACTCTTGAAGAAAAACAAAAAAAAAAAAAAAAAAAGAATGTTGTGTTCATTGCATGTAATTTAGTTTTAAGTTGAAAAAAAAAAAAAAAAAAAGACAATAACCCCCTAATTAACCACTATCAAATGGATTTTAAAAAAAAAAAAAAAAAAAAGTAAGAAAATGTTCTGGAATTTTGAGTCAGAGAATGTGAAAAAAAAAAAAAAAAAAAGCTAAGTGATCACTTATTTTTTGGAATTTTTTTCCTCATAAAAAAAAAAAAAAAAAAATTCTGTTTTAACTTCTCAGGGATGTTATAAGGCTCAAACAAAAAAAAAAAAAAAAAAATATGGTAAAATGTTCATATCCAGAAGTCTGATTTCATCGAGAAACAGTAAAATCACTTGGAATTGCCTTATCTACATACAGTATGAGAAAAGCAAAAAAAAAAAAAAAAAAAAAAAATCCTTAATGCTTTTTCTTTTTTTTTTTTTTTGAGACAGAAAAAAAAAAAAAAAAAAAGGCTGGAGTCCAATGGTGCAATCTTAGTTCACTGCAACCAAAAAAAAAAAAAAAAAAAAATTCTCCTGTCTCAGCCTCCCGAGGAGCTGGTACTACAAAAAAAAAAAAAAAAAAAAAGCTAATTTTTGTATTATTAGTAGAGATGGGGTTTCACCATGTTGGCCAGGCTGGTCTTGAACTCCTGACCTTGTGATCTACCCACCTTGGCCTCCCAAAGTGCCAGGATTACAGGTGAGAGCCACCGTGCCCGACTGCTTTTTTTTTTTAAGTGAAAAAAAAAAAAAAAAAAATTTGAGATACGGTGGGAAACAAAACAGACATGGTCCCTTAAAAAAAAAAAAAAAAAAACTAGCATCGTAAAAATGTATTTTAATCATATCAATTAACAAAAAAAAAAAAAAAAAAATTCACTGACGTATACTTACCATGTCTGCCTTTAGTAAAAAAAAAAAAAAAAAAAAAAACTGATACTGTTCAACATCTGTTAACATCTGCCTGTTAGCAAAAAAAAAAAAAAAAAAAACAGTAGCAGCTACCATACTTTTGTGGCAGATACTATAAAAAAAAAAAAAAAAAAAAAATCTAACCCTCTTTTTGCTTATTTTTCTGTACTTTAAAAAAAAAAAAAAAAAAAAAAATTCTCAGACTCCCTTGCAGCTAGATTGCTGGAGTGAGATCAATGGTGTGATCAGTAAATGTTTAACAATGGCTCAAGAAGAGGGAAGGCCCTAATTTAAAAAAAAAAAAAAAAAAATTTGCTTTCTTTTTTAGGAACAGGGTCTTATGATGTTGCAAAAAAAAAAAAAAAAAAACTAGGCTCCTCCCACTTCAGCCTCCCAACTAGTTGGGACAAAAAAAAAAAAAAAAAAACCCTACCAGAGTGACTTCAGTAAATGTGGAGTTAGTTGGAAAAAAAAAAAAAAAAAAAAAGCTGGCTTCAGTATATGACCTAGTTTCCAGCAATCAGAAAAAAAAAAAAAAAAAAAGGATGTGACAGCAAGCAACATGATGCTTCAGCTGCACTCAAAAAAAAAAAAAAAAAAAACAAATACCATGAAGGAGGTATCGGGTTCTTCTGGGTAGGTAGGGAGGAGTTGTGGCATCTGTTTTAGAGTCTTAGGTGCTGACTGGCAGGCAGTGCAAAAAAAAAAAAAAAAAAAAATAGCTTTGTAATGTGGGATGGGTGGGTGTTCTTTGTGAAAAAAAAAAAAAAAAAAATTGTTTCTAGCTATGTTTATCTAAGTCTGGTTCTCTGGCAAAAAAAAAAAAAAAAAAACTAAATAGTATCTTTTAATGCCTTTTTGCTTCAACCAGCCCAGTCACAGCCAGCTACATAATTTGTGGGGCCCAGAGCAAAATGAAAATGTAAGGCCTCTTGTTCCAACACAGGGGAAAATGTGCTGTTATCTGTACTAAAATATAAAGCTTTTTCTTTCTTCTGTCTTTGCTCTCTCCACTTGTCTTAGTGTTTTTAAATTTACTTTTTAATAAAAAAAAAAAAAAAAAAAATTAAATTTTTTAATTCTTAGGATGAATTTTACCATTCAAAAAAAAAAAAAAAAAAAACATTTTAAAATGCAAGTATAAGAGCATTTCAATTGTATTAAAAAAAAAAAAAAAAAAACAATTCATAGCTTGTAAATGCATATGTATTTTGTGCTATCAGAACACTGTAAACTCTGCACAAAACCAACTCAACTATTTTTATTTTGCTTCTTGATAAAAAAAAAAAAAAAAAAAATTCTCTGTCTTCTGCTTACTGATGAGTAAGGAAGGATGAAAAAAAAAAAAAAAAAAAGTTGCCCTACTT